GAAATTCCAGGGGGGGGGGTGCGAGGCGACCCAGCTTCCCTCCCCTTCCCTTAATCACCCCTGCAAGTTTTGCTGCTATTTTTGTTTTTCGGTGAGTTTCTTTTTTTTTTTTGCTCAAGTTTTGCTGCTATTTTTTGGGGGGAGGGGTATGAGGATCTCTCAAAAATCAAAAAGGGGGCATGATGCCAAAAAGTTTGGGAACCACTGCATTAGTAAATGCAGAGTGTCACACTTCCATGTTAAACAAAGAATGAAAGTCTGTGCAAAGGTAGATTGAAATCTCCTCGGAGAGGTGAGGCCAGGCTGTTGCACTAGAAAAAACAACCATCTATGATTTTGTTTTGATTTCTAAGATCAGCAGTGGCTGTAATTTAAAATCTCTTTGAAAGCACTGCATTTGTTAAAATTTAAAATATAAGTGGATAAAGAAGAGAATGTAGGTAAGTTTTTTCCATTCAGTATTTTCCCCAGCTCTTCTGCATTCTAAGCAACTCTGGTCTTCCCATTTTAATGTGTTATAAAGAAACCCTCTTCCAGGAAAAAAAGGACTAAGATTGATCCAGATTTACACAGGCAGCATTTTAATAGGGCAATAGACTGAGTTTCTCTTCTCATTATTCATACTGTGACCTTGGTTAGTTACTTAACCTCTGTGCCGGACTTAAAGATCTTTAACAGTTCCCTCATAAGGATATTATGAAGCTTCAAGAAATGGTATAAATGTGTAAAAGTATGACCCTTGTATGCCTCCATTTCATTTTTAAAAGCTCATCCACTGATATGCTGTAGCATTTCCACAATCAGGTACAATGATAATTAAGAATAATCTTCATTTCCTTTGTCACCACCTCATTCACCTTGACATTATTAAACCTCCCCAGACTGCTATGACAATTTAAATCTGTGATCTCCTATTTTAACACAATAAAAACTAATCTACCATATATTTTTTAAAACCCATATAGGATTAAAAAGTACTTAGAATTAACTTAAAGAAAAGTATCCTAATCAATTAGTAATAATGAAAAATCCACTAAAAGCATATTAATTTTAACCCTAAAATAATTTTGGCCTTTCATTTCAGCAACCAAGAGGAAATGATTTTTTTCCATGTAAAACTAGATACAGGTTTTCACAAAAATATTTCCAGCTGAATTTGGGCCAGATGGGAACCTCTTCCTTGAAACGTATATTAAAAGCATGCAGGCACAACAGATACAAATGGCACTTTTAAATGTTGATTTGAGACACATTTTGAGTATTGGGAGGAGGACATATTTGCACTAATGTAGTGATATAAAGTATGATATCTCCACATAAATAGTAAAGGAATGTTAAAACAGAGACGCGAACAAAGGAAATGGTGTTATCTTGGACCATGAAAGCCTCAAGAAGAATGTTATTTTTCCCCAAGAGTCATGGAGTTTAAGGCCAGAAGGACCATTAGAACATCTATTCTGACCTTCTATATATCACAGGCAATCAAAACCACCCAGCATCCACACACTAAACCCAACAACTGAAATGAGATCGAAGTATTATAACTCGTGTCAAAATTTTGAGGAATTCAGTGACAATTAGTACATTGGGGCTAAATCCTTCCCCACATCATACCTATGCCAAGCTTGAATAGCTTGATGTGACAGGATCAGAGCAACGGGTAAAGAGAGGAGCAGTCCTTCTCCTTCATCCCTCTCCAGTTTGCAGAGCCACTCCTTGACAGTAGCCCCCTGCTACTGCTGGACCTTACTACACAGGAGAGAAGAAATGGCAATTGCTATCTGTTCCATACACTGGTGGATTCACTGCCCTTAGTCCAGGTCCTTCCTTGAACCCCAAACTTTTAGGAACATGTAAGGCCCTCCCTTCACAGACTTCTCAAATCTTGCCTCACTTGCCCATTGGAACTGCATCTCAGGTGGGGCCTCCAGTAGCTGAAGAAGAGGGGTCCCTTTGTGCCCCTCAGAAAACAGGAAAAAGCACACATGGGGAAATGTGTGGAGAACAAAATTTTATCCTCACTGAACTTTGCAGACAGATCTGGGTGTTTTACCAGGATGGAAAATGCTCCATGTTCTGAGTGACGTGTACAAGATGTTGTATCTGATGTTATTTGAGAAGCAGCAGTTTTAGCTACGGTTCTGGACTCTGAACCTTGTGGATTTAACAGAGGTACCATATATCCTGACTGATCTCTCTGACAAAGATTCAAACTGTTGGCGAGACAAGTGAAAAGGAAACTGATTTTGGGGAATTAAGCTTTCCTTTGTGGAGAATAATTGGACACAAACATTGAAGCTTAGCTAGAGTCATTGTGTTGGTAACACTTGGCTCTGTTCCTGGGGGCCTTTTTGACATTTTACCAGGCCTACATTTGCATCTTTCACCAGCTCCAGCCTCTCACCCACCAAGCTGGATTCCCGCACGTAAAGAAGGCTATAGTGGAAGAGAAAGGAGGTTCATACATGGCAACTGATCAAATAACCTGAGCAGAGCCGAGAACCCCGTTACTTCTGTCTAAGGATCTTGGGGCTCCTACTCTCAGATATTAAAAAGATGACCATGATATAAATGATCACATAAATTAGATTAAATGGCTTTGCAAGATACTCTCAAAAACATTGATTTCTCAGTCCCCAGGCCAGTTCTCACCTGTTCTGGGGTAGTCACAATTTCTTGATTTGGATTCTTAGGATAGGCACAAGCTCTCCCATCTCCACTTTCTATGCATTTTCATTAGAAACCTGGCCACTTATCTTTGCATTGTCTCTTCCACCTTGTTACATAATGACACAAAAAATGAACACCCAGGAAATGATGGTGCTTCCCCCCTTTGCAGAACAACAAAATTCATGGGCCACAAACTAGCTGAAATTTGAGGAAATCTATGCTTCAGCAATACAGAAAAAAAATTAGGTGGGTCCAGCTACCCTTTCATTAATGAAGTACAAAGACTCAGCATTTCAGTTACATATAGGGTTTATTATTTTCCTTTTTATACATAAATTATATCAGTAAATATCATCAACATGTGTCATAGATGGAGGAGGTTTGTAGGACTAAAACTGTACAGCAATTTTAGAAACAGAAGTGCACATTCATTATTCATCATTTGGAGATGCAGATACTTATCCCTAGGATCACAATAAGGGCTAAATGTTTTTAAAAAGCTAACACGTAGAAAACATGCAAGTTTTCAGATTGATAGCTTAAAAAACAAACAACTAGAAACCACTGGGTGATTAGGTATTTTAGGACTTAAAGCTGTTGAAAGTGAAACGGTACTTCTCTCATAGTGCATCCTAGTTTATATGTAGATCTATCAAGAACTGGAGCATGACAGTCCAGAAAATGGGGATTAACATTTTTTATTTTTCAGTTTAAAAATGTAGAAGGAAGTGGAAGGAAAAAAGTAGAAGGTAGAAAGGTCTGACACAGTTAAATTGTTTATGAACCAGTGGACCTTTGGAGTATGAGAATATGACATGACTGCTGGTTACTTGATAGTTTTAAGATTGCATGAAATATAAACAATATAGAGATTTTTACACTGCTGCTTTGGATCTAATGTATAAATTGGCCTGTCCCTGACATATCAATATTATATACACTGATGATATTGTACTGAGTCAGAATGTTGTACTACCCTCAGAGATTTATAAACAAACAAAATCAATGTTATTTAATATTCTAGTACAAGTCTGACAATCATATATTTGTCTGCCAGCACAAAACACTCAAAGAACACTAGCGGGCTGTAGCCTTGACATTATGTAGTATGTTAAACAGTGCTCAGCCACAGCTTTGCCAAACTCAGCATTATGGAATTAATCATAGAATGTAAGTGAAAATTTTTTTCAAGTAACGCTGGCTAAAAGTTTCATTTTTGGGTGCCTGAAGCTAGACATCCATCTCCATATATAGGCATTTACATAAAAGTGGCCTGATTTTTAATGGGAGCTGTAAAGGCTCAACATTTCTGAAAAAAATCTGGCCACTCATATGCCTAAATAGTGAGATGGGTACAAACTTTAAGCACCAAGAGGTACATATGGCCTATTGCCTTAATTGAATAGATCATGCATGTATTTTCTTCCCTTTCAGCCTTTTAAGTTAACACAAACTATTTTGACCCCTTAAATCAATGTAAGAATCTTACTAAATATAGAACAAAACCCTTGAATAAGTGAAGCCTGAATGTTTTTTTCAAGAGCTGCAAGACCGTATTTATATTTGAAAATGGAATGGAAATAGAATCTGAAAACATTTCTATCCTTGCTGTTTTCAAGCTTCCCGCCTTGAAAGTTACATTTCTTACATCTTTGAATTTGCAACAGTAGAAGCACCAATAGGCTCATGTGAGGCGGCAGATTTCTTATTTGTGCCGTAACCAGGGAGAGCAGGAATACAGCATGCAGTTCCATTATTTTTGTTATTATTGTTATTCAATAGTTATACTATATTGGTACCCAGAGGGTCCAATCAGGATCAAGGACCCATTGTGCATTAAAAAAAGTTTCAGGTATTACATCTACTTTTGAGTTCCACAGCCATTTTTCAGTTGGAAGTGGGATTTTTAAAATTCTTTTTTAATTTTCAAGTTAATTATCGCTCTAACAAAGTTCATATTCCAATGCACCAGTTTCAGCTCCCTGAAATACACCGATCTACCCAACTGACCTGAGTCTGGATACTAACGTAAGCAGGTACCGAATTTTCTGCAGTTAAACAGAAGTGTTTCTAATTCTGCTGTAGAATCCTTTGGCACAGCTTGTCATCAACAACAGAGATTCATGAAAACAGTCACAAAATTTCTGCAAGTGATAAAAAGCTTCTAGTCATAATGGAAGTCATTTAAAAAACCCATTTCCCACCTCTTGTTCTGCGTTACCACCAGCACTGTTACAGAGCTGCTTGCCCTGAATTCCTCTCTCCCACCTCTCCCTCCCCCCCCCCACTTCATTTCAGCTTAGTGCTGGAAAAAGAGTGATATACCCAGGTACAATGGTTAATCATCCAATCATGAACATATACACAATCATACTTAGTTAAGCTGAAATTTTCTTAACCATAATTCATCCCTATGTGTAAAATATTGGAAGTAAGCAGACTAGAGATATAGAACTGTACAGTACATATACTGGAAAAAATAGCATTTATATTACATGCATTTCAGTCATATAGGTCTTGAATCTGCTCCAATTGGGATCAATGGGAGTTTTACCTTTTACTTTAATGGGAGCAAGACTGTGTCTTCTTAATTGTTTATATTCTATGGCAAGCAATGCTGAAAGACATAGTAATAAGTCCTAACACCTTCAAACAGAAGCTTTACATGTTTTTAGAACAAAATTCAGTAAGCACGTTGGTAATGAATAACAACAACATTATGTCAAAGGTTTACAATAGTCTATGCTACCAGCAGTATGTATAGCTAGAGGAGGCTTTTAATTTACTGTTTGCATTTTCTGGAAAAAGTTATTACATAACAAGTTTAACTGGGCCAGATCCCAAAGTCAGTGGAAAACAGAATTATGGAATTTTAAAAATTTAATGGAACTTTGAAGCAGAGTTCAAAAATAAAAATACAGTCCACATTTATTCAAGATGTACAGCCAAGTCACATGCAGCCCAGAACTATCATCTTGCAAACTGGACATATTTCTCAGTCAGCATCAGTATTGTTTTCTTTTACAACTTGCCTCCAAAGCACTTAAAAAGGAGGACCATCTTACTCAGATCTATTTCCAGTGAGTATCATAGACATATCTGCTGACTTTATTGTAATTATGTCAGATGCTACAGTAAGGTATTCTAAGAAAAAGTTGATGAAATACATGACCTTCCCTGTCCCCTTAGTTTGCCTTCCTTTTCTCCTCCTACAATTTTCTTTCTCCCCATCTCAGAGACAGAAGTTTCTTATCTGGTCTCATTGTTTTCTTGAATTTCTCTATCTGTTGTCTTTTGTCTTATATTGTAAGTTCTTTGGAGACACAGACCATCTTTTTGTTCTGTGTTTGTATAGCACCTAGGACAAAGGGGTCCCAGTCCTTGATAGGAGCTCCTAGGCACGATGGTAGTACAAATAATGAACACTACTTTTACTTTTTACTGCTATTGCAGAGCTAAAATGGCTGAGAGCTGGATTCTATTCTCTTGTGAATGACAATTTTTTTGTACTAAATTTCACTCTGTTATATTTGCTCTAATCCAATGAAGAAGTTGCACCTATATCACTGAGGACCTGAGAAAATAATACAACTTGACTTTTAAATCCTAGCCTGAGAAATAAGAGCTGGGTATTAAGGGGAAAACCCACAAAATTTTAATGCTAATTTAATCATATTTGATCTGGGAGTCTGACACACACACAAGGAAACTCACAATTTTTCAGTCACTTTTCAGATTTGAGTTGCACTTAAAGAACACAAAATATAAAAAAGGGGGAAAGAATGTAGAACAATCCTTCTCTTTCATTCGGTCTACTCTCCTGATCTCTTACCTTTTCTTCTCCCATTTCATTTTGTATAAAAATTAATACCCTCTTGAGCCTTCATAAATTTAAAAAGTATTGTTTTTATTTTATACCTTCCCATGGTCCTTATTGTCTCCTACACAGGAATAACCATGCTGGGAACAAGAAACCTGAGTTTCATCTCTATTTTGAGTTTTTTGAAACCTCCTAGAGTTATGGGGTTCACCCTTCAGTAGAAGACAGTAGTGGTTTCCCCTTAATTCACAGATTCTCCAATGTCTGTGCTCCTCTTAGAACTGGAGGAGGTAAATGGGATCTCTTTCCTGATCTTTCAGATGCTCTGCTTTTGGGAGATCTCCTAATTGCAGCAACTCTCCCACCCTCCACACACCAGATGTGCAAAGATAGCCTACAATATATAAAATCCTGAGCTTGCACATACTCGGGCTGTATTTATGCTGATTCCTTTGTGACCTGAGGATAGGATATCACAGCCTCCTCATAGAAACTCTTGGGGAGGATCCTCGATAAGAAAGCTGGGGATGCACATGCAGCCAAGGCTGAACTCCCTTCTAAGAATCATGGGCACAGATGTGAAGGGGAGATTAATGTCTTCCCTTTTAAACACTCTAAAAATGAGGTAAAATTCTTCCTCTATCAATTTATAATTCTCCTTCAGTAAAATGCTGATTGTATTGACAGACACTAAAATCAATGTAGCAGCCTTTCCAAGTCAGGAGATCTGAGATCAAAAGCTGATTAGGTCAAAAGTGAAATTCAGCAGTCACTGCTCAGCCACATCTCTACAGATCTTGTGTTATCTACAATTTAAAACAGCATAGAATTAAGACAACAGGAATACCTGCAGACCAGGATTAAGGTGCATTGGCAGAATTGTGCAAAAGCGTTCAGAACATGTTTGTATTATACTTGGCTATAACCAGTGCAAGTTAGGCTTAAAAGTCACCATTTTAGTAATTTGTTACTGCAGTGTAGCACTCCCATTTGAAGGCACGTCTCCTGTTAATGACCAACAGGAGGGCATCTGCAGAATCAATATTGTATTGTTTACAAAAGACCATTCTTATTGCTGTGTTTTGCCTCAGTATGGCATGAAGAATATCGTCTAATACTCCTCACCTGGAAACTATTCCCCCTTATTAATCTCTTGCCCCTCCCCCAAAAAACACAAAAAAACAAAAACCCTGCTTATGTCATTTAACTGCCATCTTTTTAGCAGCAGAAGGAGCAGAGCAGACATGTTGAGAAGCACTTCCTTCCCAGTTCTCCCTTAATAAAGAGGAGAAGACACTGGGCCTCCATATGGAAATTTTTTAAAGGATTCAGGAGATTTAAAAGAGACAGCAAGACTCCTAATGCTCTCACAAAGATACAAGACACACAATGGGATTTTAAAATCTTGATAAACTAGACATGACTAGACAGTAGGGAAGAGGCACAAACATGTCTTGAGTTAAGTACAACTTTAAATTCAGTTCACTTTCAAAGTGTAGAAGGCAAGAGTGCCACTTCTAAAACTTCAGACTGAATCTACTGTTTGAGCTGTTTAATACAGTATTTTACAACAAGCTTAGCATTCTGATTCAGACACCAGACCATTATTTACTAAAGTAAGGGGATGTATTTGTGCTCCCAAGAGAAGAAAACTATCCTTCCAATAGCATCTCTGCAGTCCCGTATTTAAATAAATGACAACTTAAAAATAATTATTGACATTTTTCAAAACAAACAAATATATACTTATTAAATGTAGAGGGAATAAATTAAACAAGAGGCTTATATTTACAGAATCTAATTTTTTTTTTTTACATTCTGTAAATGCAGGTATACATTTCTAATATTAAAATTACTGTTGGAACACAATACCTTTCAACACAACCACCCAATCTTTTATTGTTGAAAAATTGCCAAGTCACTGTATGAAGAGCAAAAAAGGAAAAGAATGGTACTACTTCTTGTGCAGTCACATGTTAAAATCCATGCCAAATAAAGAATATATTAACAGATGACAAAAATTGGGTTAGAAGATGCAGTTTAAACAAAGATTTTTCTTTAAAGTTTTCTAATTTTTCTAACAATGCTAGAAAATACATGCTCAAAGTGGATTTTAGAAAAACACCTATTTCAGCTTTGAAAAATTATTCTAATTGTGGCTAAACTAAGTTATAAATTAACAGTATTTACCTCAATATATTGAAAAGATTGCGTCAGTATCAAGAATTGGCTGTTCTTAACAGATGCAGTATTTCATTATTATATAGAAAGAATGCATCAAAAATAGATGGGGCAGGGTTTGGAGTCCATTTTCAAACACTTGATCACTTTAATGATGGGTTTCCAGTTCAAGAATTGTCCATTCCCCCTGAGGAGAAGAACAATCATCAGAGGAAAAGCTTGTCACTGTGATGCTTGCTGAAGAATCATCAAGTGGCGACATTAGTTCAGTCCATCTACTGAAAGTATCAATGTGTGATTTAACCTGAGGCTCTGAACCATCTCGTGCCAGAAATAGTGTCTGGTTGATAAGATATTGTGCTAAGTTAAGGTCTTCAGGAACAGAGTTTTTGAAATCTATGTTTAAGTCCTGCTCAGCTAACAATTGCCTGAGAAGAGTCCAGTCCTGTTCTGCAAATTGCTGATCTTCAAAATCCATATCTAGAATGTCCCTTTCTGATTCCATCCTCTGCTCAATAGCTTCTCCAACATCCATCTCATATATTGGAGAAAGGGTTTTTGAAGGTCGATGCTCATACATGCAGGTTTGTGCCAATGTGTCACAATCATCTATGTCTCCTGCAATAATTCATAATACTAAACAATGTAAAAATTGCACGTTTCCCACTCAGGGATTTGTAGAGCAAAATTTAATTCATTGCAGCAGAGACAATCCAACAAGTAAGAAAACATGTAAATGTATACAAAATTGACAAAATTCAGGCATTATTTTCTGTGTAAAAAACAAAGTCTGGTTTACAAATTAAGTTAAAGCAGCAATCACCACTGGTAATTAACAATAAACCTTCATAATTAGGAAATTTCTGATACAGAAAAGACAAGTTATTAAACAAACATTTAATACACATGGAATTTCTAATTCACTATAACAACTTAAAGTTGGAATAGGAGGTGGGTGGGAAGGAAGGAAAAATAAAGAATATATGATCACTGAATGGTGATGTAAGCTATGTCAACTCCAAAGAGAAGGGAAAACAAAATGGTTTTATTCACAGGCTTATTTCTATACTACACATATAAGGGCAGCTGCAGGCAAGGACAAGCAAACTTAAAAATAATACAACTTTTAAAGATCATCTTCTGTGGTTCTGCTGAATATGATTCTTGAATACACAACAGTTGTTATAGTCATACTATTGTGTATTTTATAACGGGATAATTTGAATTACTGGTTTAAAAGACAAAACAGATAAAACAACTAGACAATCATCTAACTAGGTGAATCAAAGCTAGAACTTTTTGTTGATCATTGCTAGTTCTAAATATGATATCTCTTTTAGGAAACTGGTTTTCATTGGTGAAATTTAGAACAACGGTTATAATCTTATTAACTGCAAATTTTAGGTCCAAACCTGCTCCCATTGAAGTCTATGGAAACATCCCACTGAAATCAGTGGGAGAAGTATCAGCATTCGTATCTCAGTGTAAAATATAATACATCAACAAATTGCAAAAGTAAACAGTTCAGTGCGCTTTAGTAAGGTTATTACTATAGTTATTGCACATCCCACTTAGATATATAAGTTTTAAAGGAGACAAAACATACAAAAAGTTCCCACCAAAAGCTGATGCTACCAATGTTAAATTGGTCCAAAATAATTATCATGCAAGGAATTGTTCCTAATCTTTCCTTTGAGTACTGCATAAAATCTATCTGAATAGATCTGCCTAGTATAAATATTCAAGTTTTCCGTAGAACATTAAGTTATATAATTTGTATCCAAAATGGACAAGCATTCAATAAATAAATGCTTAAAAACATTTGTTTGTTGAAAAAATTGGAGCCAATTAAAAGTTCATGATTTGACTCCAAATATAAAATTTCCAATATTCTGCCTATTACCTTAATTTTCTGAGGGACTTAACATTTCTATTTCTGTACATTACCTGCAGGTAAATCAGTATTAGTGTACTCAGTAGGTGTTCGCTGATTCTCTTTCACTTGATTTTCTTGAGTCAGTAACTGATTCTTACAGGGTTTGACAGGTTTTGCAGAGCTGTTCTTTTGCATGTCACAATTAGTATCTCTTTGATGAAGGTCCAAATGACATGGTCTTTCTTGAGACTTCATGTCATTGTCTGAAAGTTTATTGCACTGCTGAAGTTCACTGATTTCTTCATTCTTACTATTTACCTTTTTCTCTTCTATTAAACACTGAGTATCTGGTAATGAGAGTACTTTCTCTGGGCAATTTTTTTCTGTCATTGAAGTACCCTGATTATCTTTTTCTTTGATTTCTGTGCCAAAAGGAGCTACAAAAAAGCACTCACTTCTGTCCTTTTCTTGATGTTTGAACTCCAGGAATCCATCTTCAGTTTCCAGTAAACACTTTGAATAATAAGTCTTTCCATGAGATACATTATCAAAAACATCAGAAGGAATAGGGAAATCTGTGGAAAGCTGATGGGGCCCATGAGCCTCTCCATCATCAGATCCCAACTCTTCACATTCATCTACTGAAAGTAAAACAGATCTCTTAAAATTTTTAGTTTTAGAAAACTCTTGACTTTCAATATCATTCTCTGTTGCATCTTCAAAAGCTAAATTAACAATTCCTTGGAATGGCTGAGTAGGAGGGTCTGATGGAGGAAAGCTTTCTGCTACATTTTCTGCTTCAGATCTTTCATCTTCTGTTTCATCTGCAGAAGAGGAAACTTGGTCAGCTTCCTGAGTAAATTGTGGATTTCCAAAAGTAGTGTTTTGACTTTCCCTAGCATTGCCCCTTAATACACTTTGATGTGACCACACTTCAGGTCTTTTTCTTGGTATCTCATCATCGCTTGTTGAATTAACACGGAAAAGATCGGAACCCTCTTTTTTCATTTTCACTTCTATTCTTAAACTACTGTCATAGATTTTTAATTCTTCAGGTGTACTTGTGTCACTGCTGCTTCTGCCAAGAAAATCATGGCACAACATAGTGCTACATTTAGAAATCCCTCTCTCATTTGAGCCTTCATCATCCTGAGAGCCTCCCGCGTCATAGTCTTCTGATCTTGGTTTAATATCATCAGAAGATGTTGTTGCACTGCCAGTATCTGATTCAGGACTCTCTTTTGGATCCAATTCACCTGTATTCAAATTCCAATGATCGACAAAAGGAATTTCTAAATTTTCATGGCTTTCTGGTGTTTCTGTAGTATCCGTATCTTTAGGTGAACATTTTTCTTTAACTTGTCCCGTGAAATATTTTGAAGTAGAATCTGAGTCTATTGTAGCAGACCTGTATTCGGTCAAGACTGATTTATCAGGCGATTGATCAGCACTTGCACATCCCTTTACATGAGTCTTAGAGGATTTTCTTTCATCTTGTTCTGAATTAGAGGCATTTGTTACCTTAGAAAAGCTGGGTAAGTGATCTTCTCTGTAATTAATGCCCATTTCAGTGCTCCAGGTATCATTTTGTTCTGCATAGTCTTCTACTGCTTGTATTAAATGTACTTTGCTGTTTCCTGAATAGTCCAAATATTTTTTAGCTGAATCACAGACAATTTTGCACTTTTTTGATCTTTCTTCTGTAGCTGAAGTAGGGGGGCTTTGGTCTGTATTCTCACAAATGATTGAGTATGAATTACTATTAAGCTCTGCACAGCAATGAAATTCAGTTGTGTTACCATCATCTTTGTTTTTCTCTACTGGATACTTAATTTCAATTTCATCTCCACAAGCTGGTTTTGGTTCCATTTTATTTTGCATTGGAGTATTCAGCTTAGGAACAGGTTTGTTTTCTACTTTGTATTCCCCATTTTCAAGAGGATCCAATAATTTTCTTGGATCAGGTTGCCATGATGCCATGAGTTGGTCTTCTCTATTACATTCTATCATAGATTGTTTACACTTACTTTGTCTTGCAGAACTACATTTGTTGTCGTCATGTGACTGAATTGCAAAAGCAGCAGCATGTTGTTCAAATTTCTGTCCTGAACTTTTGTGTTCAGGACTATGCACATTCTTTTGGACAACAGGAGATTCACTTATTGAATGTCTTTGTGTTGAAGACTGTGTTTTTAATGTAGGCTGCCCAGCAACTATTTTCTGTTTTGGGTCTTTACTGCTTATAGTCTCACTTTTCTTTGAATGGATCTGATTTTTGGGTACTATTATTTTTGCAGTGGCTTTAACTGCTGATGTTTGTGATGGTTTAATGCTCTTTTTATTTGATGAAGGTTTTTTTTCTGAAAGTATTGTCTGAGTCAAAGTTTTTGTCATGTTTTTTTCTTCAATTTGTTTCAGAGACATTCCAGATTTTAATGAATTTTGTGAATCTCCTTTTGCATCTAACAAAAAAGTAAAAAATACATTCTAGTCAGAGAACTATGTTATTGATAAGTTAGACATATATAATTCAAGAATAGATTATTAAATATTTTAGACAATCAAGTGATTTTAAAATGTAATTAAATTATCTTAAATACAAACATTTAAAAAATGTCCTTGCATTAATATAGGACCTTTGAATCCAAAGCACTTTACAAATTGTAAACATAGGAATCACTTTATCTACTACTGTAGCCATTAATAAAGTGGAAAGCAGCAGCTAGCCAATAGTGCAAAAAATTACTGCTCAGTTATTTAACACAGGAAGTGATGAGTACTATATCCAATTTAAATTTCATAGGAAATTTAAGTAAGCAGAAGGTAATTATTCTAGTCATAATATGGTCAGAATACCAGTATTAATACCACTATTCTTTCAGAAAGTGTTGTGAGATCTTTAATGACCATAAATGGACAGAATCTATGTTTTACGTACTATCTGAATGTGAATTCAAGTAGCACTCAGGTTCTAGTTTAATCAATAAGGAAATGCAGTTTTAAAGCTACAAATACTCCACCCTTCACTTCCATCTTGTGCATTGGCACAGCCAGATCTCTACATGGTGAAGGTTTTATTACATATTGTTACTTGCTATAAGAACAGCTATATTGTACTATGCTTTTTGCTAGTTATAAAATAGGTTGCCAAGATGTTAAAATGTTGATTTTTAAAAGACAGAGCATATTGTCTCCATGCCCTAAACACATTTCTCCTTGCCTTACTATACTTTTTTCATGTCTGTGAATATACAGTATTTCTATACTGATGCTTAATAATGGAGAAGAGTGTCAATTTTCTAAAGAAAGGTAAGTTAGATTTTACTTAATACTCTGAGGACTCTGGACTTTCACTTAATATATGCTTATTTTACATCAACATCCTCAAGAGTAATGAGTAAAAGTCTACTTACCTTTTCTCCAATGGCAATCCTGTGCTCCTGCACTGATGATTAGCGCTACTGACATCTAGAGTTCAGTGCATCCTAGAATACACTGGCTTGTGTGACAAGTCAATAACTTTGGGACAGTGACTATGAGACCAATTAAAAATAATGTTGGCAGGTGGCTAAAGAGCTCTCTCTGTTAATTTTAATATCACAGGCCTTTATGATAGTGTTTTTTTGTTCATTTCTAACACTTGCTCCCTGCATATTTGGGTGACTATGAAATTTCAATCATCTGCAGTTCTGATTTTCTACTTCCTTTTCCTTATAATCACTAACTCTCTCTGGTCTTACAATCAAACTGAAATGATTATATTTTGGACTCTCAGTTCTTATTTACGTGCTTAAGAGATTATTACAAAAGGAAAAGATCATTCTGAAATTTTACTCCATGTGGTACAGCATGTATGAAAAACAATATTAATCAATGATGGACACTGGCAGATACCAGTGTTAAATATAAAAAATGTATTATGTAGACAAAAAGACAAATATCTTCCATCCAATCTGCAGAATGAATCACTAACATGTATTGTGAACTTTATTTCAGACACAGAATTTCTATTGAACTTAATGGAAGTTCTAGGTGCAGAATACTTAAGATACCAACGCAAGACAAAAGATCCACACACCATAATAGGGAAAAAGTGTCTCCCTGATGGCTGGCCAGATTTTAAAAAATAAATATACACCAGTCTCATAAGAATTAGAGAAGCAGAAAAATACATCTGAGATCTGTTGGCAAAAATGAAATACGGCAAATACACCAAGATCATCAGGATTTTTCTGTTGTTCAGTGAATTATTTATCTGTGTTACAATATAGCAAAATTATTCAAATAGTAAAGTATAATTTAGTTTAATGCCATTTGGTTCTACCTTGGTTTTTAGCAACATGAGCTGGTGCATTCTTTGTCTTCTGCTGAGCTATAGAATTGCCACTAACATTTCCTTTTTTCTTTAAAACAGCTTGAGGACTTTGTTCATTGTATCCTTTTCCAGAGGGTTTCTTTGTCACACTATGAGAGAAAATGATACTGCTTGTATTACTTGAAAATTAAAGGTCTAAAAATGAGCAATTTAAAACAGTCAGTAGTACTCTATAGATTTTAACATGGAAGATGTTGCATAAAAAAGCCTCCGCCTGAGCTCACTAGATTTATATACATGAATTTTCTAAAGCTACACCAAACTGTAAGGTCTAAGGTTTTAAACTGCAACTTATTGTGATTCATGTCAACCTTTGTAATCTGTGTAACTCTCAAACTTAACGTAAACTGCAACTTTGTAATCTTTGTAACATGCAGCCACCTTGCTTGTAACTTTCCCTAAGATGCATTCTCCCCTGAGTGAATGGAGAGAGTGAGTGTGTTTGAAGAAGGCTTGGAACAATGGACCACATGGCAAAGAGTCATCACAGTCTGGGCATGCTGCTTGCTGGATAAAGGGAAATCTGGGCATGCTCCCTGATGACAAGGTGAATGAGTCACAGGAGCCATTCAGATACTATATAAAGAGAAGGAGCACATGTGAGACTCTCTCTTTTTCCTTCCACTGATCCTGAGAAGCTCCCCTCCAGTGTCTTTCCTCCTGACCAGCTTCCCCAGCCACGATGAGCAGACAGACCCCTCCAGGATCCACATGCCTTGGCTCCTTCTGCAACCCATATGTCTGTGTGTAAGTGTGTGTTTGCTTGAGGGCAGGAATGAATGGGTGTGAATGAGTGAAGGGGTGTGTGCTTGCTTGCTTGTCTGTGTGAGAGAGAGTTCTATCTTCTTTAGCTTAAACCTTTGGTGGCTGCTTTCTCCTCTTTAGTTCTACTTAGTGGAAATAAACCCATACTAGTGTAACCCTGGGTGGTCTCCAGTGAGAACATATTATTGGGGTAACAGAAAGCACAATATATGCCATGTAAAATGACTTTTCTCTTTCTGAAAATAAACAAATATATTTAGGGGCCTGTTTCTTAAAAGTACTAATCTTCGCATCTTCTATAGATTTTTTCAGCTACATCTAAGCTATTACAGAGGTTATAGAAAGTTCTCAGCATTTTGCGGGATTCAGTCACATAATTGTTCATATCTGCAGAGTTATGGGAACAATACTAGCATAACAAATAAACAAAGCAGCCCAAATCTATAGGCAAAAACAATTATATCTTTACAAAAATATTGTCCATAATTATTTCTGCTTTCTTACTAACAATATGAAATACTGTTCTGAAAAATCCTTAGGTTAAAAATCCTAAAAAAATGTTGATTAAATGAAAATTAGAATTAGAAAACCCAATATATAAGTAATACTTTGATATCCAACAAACCTATTTGTTGTAACAGTCTCAAGTTCATTAGCTTTTTTGTTGGTGGTTCCATTGGTTATCTTCAAAGCAGACTTTGTTTTCACTGCTATAAGCAAAATTAAAGATTTAGTTATAGTATAAAATGTATGATATACAAATATCTAAAAAAAATCACCCCAACAACCCAAGGTATAATGGTCAGTTACTGAAAACAGCATAGATGTTTTTTAGTGTTGTCTTTAATATGCATGTATTTTTTTCAAGCACACAAAATTTCAGTTAGAGCCATTAGTGCAGGGGTATGTTAGCATTTCTTTTTATAACTAATATTGATTTAAAAATAAGCTTGTGTTAGAACAGAACTTTTGGAACACTCCAGGCTGTTTTCCAGCATATGACCTGTCTGTAGCAAGTCAGAAGGTGATCTCTTATTACCAGTATGGTTTTTTCCTTCATCTACTGGTTTATCCTCTTTGGGTTCATCCAGTTGTTCACTGGAATTCTGTAAATCTGTACTTGAGTTTGCTGACTTGTTGAAAGTTCCCATCCCTGTTACCAGAGTGGGTGATTCCTTCCCTGTGGTTTTTTTCAATGGCTTTGTTTTGATTTGAATACTTGCACTTCCAGTTAGTACTTTAGGTCTGGCACCTGAACTTTTTCCTTCCTGATTTTTCACTCCTTTACCACTTCCTGAATTTTTTTGCCCACTTGCAGATGATGATCTTTCTGAATCTTGTTTGGTAATCACACTTTCAGCCTTAGCATTTCCATTACTTTCTATTTTTGGCTTTATGACAGCTCTAGCCTTTGGTGAAGGAACTTTTTCCCCAGTTTTTGAATCCTTTGTAATCTTGGAAACTGTTTTCTTACTATCTTTTCCCTTCAATTCATCATATTTTGAAGTCTTATTAGTGGTGTTTCTGTTGGTACTTGATGTATGTCCAGATGCTCCTAATCCATCAGATTTCATTTTATCCTGGTTAGTGAAGGAATTGCCCCAATAATCTCCTTTGCCTTTTACTTTCCAGGAAGTGTGCCTTATATCAATAGAATTGGTAATGCATCTGTTTAGCTGGAAAGAAGAGAAGACACTTAGCAACACAATAAAGCATACAAAATCTTTAAGTCTTGAAACATTGGTACTCAGGGAATTTAGCATGAATCTAGCACTAAAACAGAGTTCGAGAGGAAGAAATAATAATAATTTTCCAAGTCTTCCATCTCAAATTGCTGCCTTTCAAGCACTCTTAAGTACTAAATCCAGTTCCCTTTATGTTCCCATCATATTTGGACTTTCACTGGGAATTCAGTATATGATTCCCTATGAAGACTGCCATTATTTTTAAATACATACAACATAGGAAGCTTTCAACCATTATATTACAGTATAGCCGTAGTGTCCAACCAGTTCTAAAGTGTCCAACCACTATCATGGCTACTGCTATAGTGAACTAGCCTCATATGGCTAGTGGCCAGCATGTTGGACACAATGGCAGTATATCTTCCAAATAAGGGTTCAGAATTCCCAACTAAAGGTATTTTTTTAGCATTAAGATTTAAGCCTATAACAAAGTAATCTAAGTAGTAACAAAGTGAATGGTAATTTATATCCTTGGACATTAATCCTTATGTAACAATACCTTTTCTGTAAAACAGCAATGTCACTTTGGGCGTGAGTCTCAAATACACAGATTGTTGATGGCTTTCACAGCAAGCAGATTAATGGGGAGCATAACAGACTGAGTTAAGTGGTGGCTTGAGCTAGTGGAATAGCTCCATTAACTCAGTAGCAGACCACTTGTTTTCCAAACCTGAGATCACCGCTTTACTATTATATACCAACAGGAAAGTGTGCAATAACTTCTCAACACAAATTCCTGCCTCTGCTTGGCCCCAACTATTTGTGAAAGCACGGACTCTTGCTAACTCACATCAAAATCTGAAATGCTATAATACAAGACAGATTAAGGATAAAATACTGGATCAACTAGATTTACAAGGAAAATGTGATTGCTGAAGATTAACTACCAGTCGTTACTGTAAACAGATCATAAACATTACATTATTTTGAAAATATAAACCGTAAAAAGGAGCAGTTGTGTTTACAGGATTTTACTGTGTTTTTTTAAATTCTAAGAATCTAAGTATTTACCTGAGAACTAGTGAATACAGGTTTTTTGCCAAGTCTTCGTTCATCTCCTTTGTCAAAAGCAGCTGTATTAGGGGAAAAAAGGATCTCTATTACCAGTGGGAAGACAGTGTAAGAGAGACAGAAAAAAAAGCAAACTTTTTTTCTTGGAACTATCTTTTTGAGCCAGAGAAGAATGCTAGTGGTCCTAAATCTTGTCAGGGGAGATTTATTTTGGCAAAATGGAAAACATTAAGTAGCAAATGGGGGTCTGGAATGCAAGATTCAGAATTAGGAGAGCCAATATCTATAATGAATTCAGAAACAGATTCTTTGTGTGACCTTGAGCAAGTTACTCAATCTCTCTGTTTCCCCATCAACAAAAATAATAATATTTCCATTCCTCTGATGTACATAGCTCACTAAGGTATATCTATGCAACAACATTATTTTGAAATAACTGCATATACCCAGCAGGCAGTTATTTTGAAATAAAGTTGAATTATTGTCCAGCTGGAAGACTTGTCACTCTGACTCTTGTAATCCTCATTGTATGAGGAGTAAGAGAAGTCGGAGGAAGAGTGCTCTATTTCAAAATAACTGCTGTGTAGATACTCCCAATTAAGAAATAAGCTATTTTGAAATAAGCTACGCAATTGACATAGCTCAGTTTGTGTAGTTTATTTTGAGTTAAGCCCTGCTGTGTAGACACACTCTAAAAGTTCAGGGTATACTTTGAGATCCTCGGTGTACAAGAATGTGCAAAAACAACCAGTCTCAATTAGTTCTAATCATAAGTGGATACCCTGTTGGAACGGCTAGGGCAGGCCAGATTTTTGTCCACCTTAGATCTCACTAAAGGGTATTGGCAAATCCCACTCACTCCGGCATCCCGCAAGAAAACAGCTTTTTCGACGCCTTTTGGCCTCTTTCAGTTTGTCACGATGCCGTTCGGATTACACGGAGCCGCAGCCACTTTTCAAAGATTAATGGACAAAGTGCTGCGGAATCACCAGGAGTATGCGGCAGCATATATTGATGATATTATCATCTATAGTCATTCGTGGGCCGATCACTTGCGTCAGATGGGAGCGGTATTAGGGGAGCTAGGAAAAGCGGGGCTGACGGCCAACCCGGGTAAGTGCTGCATTGGGCAACACGAGGTAACTTACCTCGGATACACAGTGAGGGAGGGGGGGAAGTGAAGCCGCTAGTTGGAAAGGTACAGGCGCTACAAGAATATAAAGCCCCTTCTACTAAGAAGCAAGTCCGTCAATTTCTAGGGCTAGCTAGCTGTTATAGGAGATTCGTCCCCCATTTCGCAATGATAGCAGCCCCACTAACAGCTGACAAGAAATAATAAACCACAGAAGGTCAGTTGGTCCGAATCCTGCGAACGAGGGTTTCAGACACTAAAACTCCGACTGTCCCAGCCTCCGGTACTGGCGCAGCCCGACTTCTCCAAACCTTTTATTTTACAGACTGATGCCTCAGAGGTAGGTCTGGGTGCAGTGCGTGGGTCTGGGTGCAGTGCTGTCGAGCACCCCATACTTTATTTAAGTCGCAAGCTGTTTCCTAGAGAACGCCAATATGTGACAATCGAGAAGGAAGCTCTAGCAGTAAGATGGGCGGTCGATGCGCTCCGGTATTACCTCCTGGGAGCTCCCTTCCTCCCAGTCACGGACCATGCTCCCTTAAGATGGTTGAACTCAATGAAGGAAACGAATCCCCGAATAATGCGGTGGTACTTGGCCCTGCAGAATAATGCGGTGGGGTACTTGGCCCTGCAGCCTTATGAGTTCGAGGTAGCC